GTATGAGTGTAGAGAGTAAATTTGATGTAGAAATAGGTCATATGGATTCACCTCATCGACCTCGATTTCGAAGGCACAAGCTTTGGGCTCGGCTTATCTCTGACGACGAACTCGTTGATCGCTTCATCTTCAACAATGACCTCGTCGACTGGGTCATCTCCATCATCTTATTCTCCTTCACTACTTCGCAATCGCCATAGGTGTGGCTTTGAAGATGTTGATTTGGCTTTGGCTTCGGCTTGCCTTCTCTTCGACTGGGTGATTTCCGCCATGGCTGCTTCGTAATCTTCGTCATCTTCTTCTGTATTACTTTTTATATTAGAGAAATTGGGGATTTGTCTTGCAGTGAGAGATGGGAGATTCATTGTGCAAATTGGAGATTCATCTGGCATCTTTGGGGATTCTTCATGATTCATCTTTATGCCATTTCATGGATCTGCAAGCACCAAGTTAAGAAGAAAAAAAACAAACAGAGCAAGATAGATTAAAATTTTAGTTTTTTTTTAATTCATTGAATTTAGAAGATGATTGGTGTCTGAGTTGGTATTTAAATTAGGAAACTTTAACGAAAAACTCCCGGTACTGTTCACTTTAACGAAAAACCACATTTTTGCACTAAAAAGTCAATCTTGGTACTATTCATTTTACCCTTTATTTTGTCCTTATCATTAAAACTCAAAGTTTTCAAGCCATTTTCATTAGTTTTCCTTTTAAATTAATGAAAAAAATGTTGATTAATTTTAGGATCTGAGTTCTCTAAAATAAGTGTGATGCGGGTTTTTTGAAATAAGTATGATTGTTGGCTTGGCAGTTCATGAGTTCAATTAGAAGTTTTCATAAGAAAAAAATTAAAAATAAAAATTTAGTCCTAACTAGTCCGATATTACCAAATGTTTCACAATTCTAGTATTGCTTAATCCAAGCCAAGCCAATTCAATTTAGAAACTAATTCAATCCGAGGTAATCTTAGTACAACAATCGCATTTTTATAGTACTTCTTAGTCCATGCCAAGTCAATCCAAATTAATTCCTTAAACTAATTTAGTCTGAGATAATCCGATACAACAAACTCATACTAAAATTACTGCTCTCATCATCCAATCGGTCCCCCCCCCCTCCCGCTATCATGCGCCGTTGTAGTTGGCTCGCACAATATACATGCGCCAACCACATCTTTACCCAGTCGCTTCCGCATCCACGGCGTCGAACAACCGACTCTAATATTAAATGTCCTTGAAATCTCAGCATAAAAGTATTCCCCCATTCTCGGCCTCCACCCATATGTGCAAATCCAAAATGTCAGTCGACGCCGCCCAGCCAGTCTCCACCCCTCGCCGCACCCTACGCACCCAGCAATCCACTCAATCCACCCACCCAACTTCCGCCGCCGCCGCCTCCTCCTACTTCGAACAGCCTTCCACCTCCAACACCCACAGCGGCGGCCACAACACCTCCACCACAAGTTACAAGCTCTCTTCCTCCACTTCCTCCTCCACCTCCTTCTCCAACCTCAAAGACTCCCTCCCCGTCCCCGAAAACCCCATCCTCTACGACTTCTCCGAACTCTGTGCCGCCACCAACAACTTCCTCTCCAAACGCCTAACCGACACCTCCACCCCCTCCTGGCGCTGCAAACTCCGCGGAAAAGACGCCGTCGTTTTCCAGCGCAAGTTCCGCGTCAAGCTCTCCGCCGCCGAACTCAAAAACCGACTCTCCACCCTCTGCCGCAGCCACCACACCTCCATCATCAAGCTTCTCGGCGCATGCATCTCAACCGACCATACATTCCTCGTCTACGAATTCGTCCACGGCGCCAGCCTGGCCGCCTGCCTGCGGAACCCCAACAACCCGAATTTCACGGTCCTGTCCACGTGGACCTCACGTATGCAGATCGCCACCGATCTCGCTCAGGGCTTGGACTACATCCACAACAACACCGGCCTCAACGTCAATTTGGTCCATAACCACATCACAAGCGGCAGCGTTTTGGTCACCGAACCGCACTACAACGGCCGCATCTGCCATTTCGGGGCCGCCCAATTGTGCGGCGAGACCGATTCCTACACCCGCCAAAACTCTAATCCCAGACCGGGAGACCAAATCGAAGGCCCCACGTCGAGATTGAGCAGATCCGACAGCCGGAAAAACCAGTTCGAAGGCGTGAGAGGGTACATGTCCCCGGAATTCCAAACCACCGGCGCGGCGACCCAGAAGTCCGACGTGTATGCATTCGGGATCGTAATCTTGGAGCTTTTGTCGGCTCAGGAGCCGTTCAAGTACAAGTTCGATAAAACTCGGGGCGATTTTATCAGAACCTCGGTGGTCGACTCGGGGCAGGCGGCGGTTCTTCGCGGAGGTCTGAGGACTTGGGTGGATAACAGGCTCCAGGACTCGTTTCCCGTGGAGGTGGCTGAGAAATTGACACGTTTGGCATTGGAGTGCGTACACGTGGACCCTGATCAACGGCCCAGCATGGAACGCGTGTCGGGGAAGATCTCCAAGCTGTATTTGGAGTCGAAGTTTTGGTCCGACAATGTGAGAGTTCCGGCGGGGATTTCGGTCTCGCTTGCCCCGAGATAAAACGCTGTCGTTTTGGTCGAAGAACAATATTCTAATTCTGTACTTTTGTAATTAGGGAATAGGGAATTTGAGAGCGACATAAGTGATTATTTTGAACATTTAAACGATGAATTTCAGTGATTTGATAACGATACGAGTGGGTATATGTTTTTTTTAGTTTTGAGTTTGAATATTTGATACATTCACAAATATGTTATGTCAGTCTAAGAAGTCGGCTACGATTAAAAAATAAGAAAATTAATGAAAAATGTTTAAAAATTTTGAGTTTTAACGATAAGGACAAAATAAAGGGTAAAGTGAATAGTATCAAGATTGACTTTGTAGTGTGTTAAAGTGAACAGTACCATGAGTTTTTCATTCAAATTCTCTTAAAAATTTTAGTTGTGGATTGGATGGATCAAGAATTTTGGTTTTATATTGAATGATGTGGAATACATGCTACGAAATATTTTTTTTTTAATTTATATTCTCGTAATCAAATATAAATCAATATATTAACATTAACAACTAAAGAGAAAAAGTCATATTACCTCCTAATCATCCGATTTTATGTACCTTTCTCTTTAAACACATACGCAACCATCTCATTTGCTGCTTTGTTGCACCTCGAAAGAGAAAAATTAGAGACAACAAACTTTATAACTGTGACTTGCCACCAGTTGTTCTTTTTTTAGAGAAAAAAAAACAAACAATCGGAGAAGGTTAGTCCATGGACTACGGTTACAATTTTGTAAAGTCAAAAGCTTAAATGAAATCTACGAAAACTCAAACGTCGAACGTCAAACAACATATGTAGGAACTCGGCCAAGTTGACCAACCGGCAATAATAAGAGCCAACCGGCAATAATAAGCGCTGACCAAATGACAGTGACCACAAGAATATGTCAAAACTGAGTTGCATGCAGGGGCGGAATCATTTAAGCGACTAGGGTGGTCTCCGATTCATGCATGACATGGAGGAAATGGACCCCTCTTTCCCTGTCGATTGTCGATCGATGATCAGAAAAACAACATTGTATTATGCTATGTGTGTGTAATTGTGAGCTGTTAATGCATTAAAAATTGAAATTCACATGCATCTATAATTGCAAAACAGATACCAAATTAGAAGAAGTGCAACATAAGAATAGAAAACATAAGCAGTGATACCACGCAGAACTATGGAATTCAATTATTGTATTGATAGCACATAATCTCTTTATTTTTAGTCCATCTTCCCTGCTCCACACTAAGAAACATCTTCGATTAACTTCGTCGCTTCAAAAGAAGTCCAAGCTACAAATATACAAACGATAATTATTCAAGCAGGGAGTCCTGAATTGAAGCAGCTCATCTTAGATTATTTCTGTCTGCTATCTTTTCGAGTATATTTCTCCTCCATACACACTCAGGATGTTAAAGAGCAAACCTGTCAGAGGAATATTGCACATGGTTTCAACCCATGCCTTGACAGCTAAACTGCCCACGTGGGCTGTGCATCTGTGTTTGTGCTTTATGGGCAGTTTCTGCACTATGGGCAGAGAGGACTCCACCTTCATTTATACTTAGTTTAATGCATGCGTGTACGTATCCAATGTATAAAGCAATGCTGCCATTGCAGCAGTATGAATATACAGAAATATCAAACTCAACATGGTATCAGAACGCAGGTAATCCTTTGCTCTGCTCTGCCTTCACTCTTTCGCTGCTATACTGTGAACAGCGACATCTGCTACTGCAGCAACCAGTGCACTGCAAGCTGCACACTCGCTGCCTTGCCATCGCTGCTCTACCTGTCACAGCCATTAAGCACAGCCGCAGAGAGCACAGCTAAGCACAGCCACTGCACACTGTCTGTGAACATGGCAACTGACTCTTCCAGCAACAAACACACCAAATACGAAGATCCCAGCGATCCTCTTTAATCTTCATCACTCCGATCAGCCTGGAGCGATTCTCGTCACACAACCATTGAATGACGAAAATTACTCCACTTGGAGCCGAGCCATGACCATGGCCCTCAATGCCAAGAACAAGGAAGGATTCATCAATGGAACCATTCAAAGGCCTGAGTCGACGTCCACAATTGAATACCAACAGTGGACTCGTTGCAACAACCTCGTGAAATCTTGGCTGCTCAACTCTGTCTCAAAAGATATTGGTGCAAGTGTCATCTACAACAATGTTGCAGCTGATATTTGGAATGAGTTGAAGGAACGCTTCTCTCACACAAACAGTGTCCATCTCTTCCATATCGAACAAGAGATACATGGAAGTGTTCAAGGAAATTTGAACATTGGTGCATATTATACCAAACTGAAAAGTTTTTGGGATGAACGTGATGCCTTGTGCGCTCTCCCAACCTGTGCATGTGGAGCTGCGAAAAGAATTGATGCAGTTTCAACAAAGTCAGAAAACCATGAAGTTTCTCATGGGTCTCAATGAATCCTACGCTGCAGTTCGTGGGCAAACTCTTACTTATGGATCCTCTCCCTGCTGTCAACAACAAAGCTTTCTCACTCATTATTCAAGATGAGAAACAGAGAGCAGTCTCAATACATGCTCCTGGAAGGTCTTCAATCACTGATGCCGCAGCTTTCGCCGTGCGGGACAACATGCGAAACTCTGGTAGGAATTTTTCTCCTAGAAATTCCCATTTAAAATGTGGCCGTTGTGATGCAACCGGACATACTTCAGAAACCTGTCGTGCACACCTCAAGTGCGACTACTGTAATTGGAGAGGTCACACCATAGACCAATGCCGCAAATTGAAAAAGGCAAAGGACAACAGCGATAAGGGAGATTATCAAGATCGCAGGGGTTCCAACTCGCAGGGGTTCAACTCCAAGGCTAATCACGTTGACATCAAACCAACGCCTCCAGCAACATCTCCTTCATCCTACAGCCTCACTCCCGAGCAATACCACAACCTGCTTGCACTCCTTGATAAGAGCCAATCTAAATCCACATCTAACCATGTCGGTACCACCTCTACTATGAATGATTTATCAGGTAGAGTTCTTTGTGCTTCTCATCTCAATAAGGGAAGGAACTGGATTTTCGATACTGGCGCCACAGACCACATGGTTTGCTCACCAAGTTTGATGACCACAAGCGTTCCGGTATACAGTCGACAAGTGCACCTACCCAATCATGCACTTGCCGATATCACACATATTGGCACAGTTCGTCTCTCGAACGATCTCGTCCTTTACAACGTGCTTTGTGTTCCATCATTTAAACTGAATTTAATTTCTGTCAGCAAAATCACTAATACCTCATCTTGCTTTGTCATCTTCACTGATAAAAAGTGTCTACTTCAGGGCCAACGATCGGGGAAGATGATTGGGACGGGAACTGAACAAGGAGGCCTCTACTACCTTGATAATGTGACAAAAACCAGGTGCAATTCAGTGTCAGTTGTTACTCTTTCTGCTTCTCAGCTTTGGCATCAACGCCTTGGCCATCTTTCCAACAAAACCTTACGGGCTATCTCTCCTTGCATTAAAAATTTGAATTTTTGTAGCATTGATGATTGTTTGATCTGCCCCTTAGCCAAACAAACACGTGCTCCTTTTCCTTTGAGTTCTATTAATACAAAAGCTCCTTTTGAATTAATTCATGTTGACATTTGGGGAGGTTACCATGTTCCCACTATCACAGGGGCACAATATTGACCATTGTAGATGATTTCACACGATGCACATGGGTTTATTTAATGAATCACAAATCAGATGCACGATCATATCTCATCACATTCATCCACCTTGTTGAAACACAATTTTCCACACGAGTTAAGGTTCTTCGTAGTGATAATGGTCCAGAATTTTTTATGACCCATTTTTTTTCATCTAAAGGCATTCTACATCAAACAAGTTGTGTCTCTACTCCCCAACAAAACGGGGTAGCAGAGCGTAAACACCGCCACTTACTTAACGTTGCTAGAGCCTTGCTTTTTCAATCTCATCTTCCCAAGAAATTTTGGGGTAATGCAATCCTAACTGCCACTTATCTCATTAATAGGACTCCCACTCCTCTTCTTCACGGAAAATCACCCTATGAAATCCTTCATCACAAACAGCCAACATATGCACATTTGCGAGTGTTTGGTTGTTTATGTTTCTCTTCCACACACCACCATAGACCAACCAAATTTGATGCAAGAGCCACACGTTGTATTTTTCTTGGCTATCCATACGGCACAAAAGGATATCGAGTTTACGACCTTCAAACGGGTAAAATTTTTATTTCCCGTGATGTTATTTTTCATGAAAATGTGTTCCCTTTTTCTTCTTCCGTTGCCATCTCACCTGTTGTGTTTCCATATACTCAAGATATTGACTGTGATGACACCATCATTCATCCGTCCCTTCCACTAGAACAAGATTCAGTAGCCCAATCCACTTCAGTCGATCCATCCTCTTCAGTCGACCAATCCCCTTCACCACCTCGTCTTAAACGCCTCACTCATGCACCTGGTTATCTTCAACAATATCACGTTGGCATCAACCTTCCTTCTCGGTCCGTCCCTTCATCTCACTCGGCATTGACCACAGTGGTAGGTACTTCTTATCCTTTGTCTGATGTACTCACATATGATCGCTTATCTGCTCGCCATCGTGCTTTCACCACTTCCATTTCAGCTGCCATAGAACCCAGTTCTTTCTCACAGGCCGTACGCGACCCCCAATGGCGTTTAGCCATGGAAGAAGAACTGGCAGCCCTTGCTGCAAATAGGACATGGTCTCTTCAACCATTGCCCCCTGGAAAGCAGCCGGTTGGATGTAAGTGGGTCTACAAAATCAAATTTCGTTCTGATGGATCAGTTGAGCGGTATAAAGCACGCTTGGTTGCCAAAGGTTATAGCCAAATTGAAGGCTTAGACTATCGTGAGACTTTTGCTCCGGTTGCAAAACTGACTACAGTCCGCCTACTTCTTGCCGTTGCCTCAGTCCAACAATGGCACCTTCACCAACTTGATGTTCACAATGCCTTCCTTCATGGTGACCTTGAAGAAGATGTCTACATGTCCTTGCCCCCTGGTTTCGGACGAAAAGGGGGAAACACGAGTTTGTAAACTTCATAAATCTTTGTATGGGCTTAAGCAAGCCTCTCGTCAATGGTTTATCAAACTCTCTTGTGCTCTGAGCAAAGCTGGTTATCAACAATCCAAGGCAGACTATTCATTGTTCGTCCGAAACCATGATGGTAAATTCACTGCTCTCCTTGTATATGTTGACGATATTATCCTGGCAGGAAATAACATACAAGCAATTGAGGATATCAAGTCTTTCCTTACGAAGCAATTCAAGTTGAAAGACCTTGGCCAACTAAAATATTTTTTGGGCATCGAAATTGCTCGCTCTAGTAAGGGGATCACTCTCTCACAGCGAAAATATGCCCTTGAAATACTTGAGGATGCAGGTTACCTTGGTGCAAAAAATAGCCACCTCTCCTATGGAGCAAAACTTATCACTCAGAAAGGACGAAGGACAATGCATCACTGATCCTTCTTCTTATCGACGGCTTATTGGGAGACTAATCTACCTGACAATCACGCGCCCTGATTTGGTCTATGCTGTCCACATTCTTAGTCAATTTATGGAGAAGCCTCGAACTCCACACTTGGAGGCAGCCCACCGAGTCTTACGATACATTAAGCATACACCAGGGCAAGGTATCTTTCTTTCTCTCTGCAAGAAGTCCAATCCAACTGAATGCCTTTTGTGATGCAGATTGGGCCAGATGCCGTGACACACGACGTTCTACCACCGGATATTGTGTATTCCTTGGAGAATCCTTAATCTCCTGGAAAAGCAAGAAACAAAACACTGTGTCACGTTCTAGTGCGGAGGCGGAGTATCGCTCAATGGCAGCATCTTGTTGTGAAGTCACTTGGCTGAAATATGTTTTACAAGACTTGGGTATCAAACATAAACATCCAGTCAAGTTGTATTGCGATAATCAAGCAGCACTTCACATCGCTTCGAATCCGGTCTTTCACGAAAGAACCAAACACATAGAAATTGACTGCCACCTTGTACGAGAAAGGATTCAAAGTGGTATGATCAGGACGTCTCATATTTCAACCATGAAGCAACCAGCTGACATCTTCACAAAGCCACTGAGCTTACATCAGTTTACGACTTTGCTCCACAAGTTAGGAATAATCAACATCCATTCCAACTTGAGGGGGAATGTTAAAGAGCAAACCTGTCAGAGGAATATTGCACATGGTTTCAACCCATGCCTTGACAGCTAAACTGCCCACGTGGGCTGTGCATCTGTGTTTGTGCTTTATGGGCAGTTTCTGCACTATGGGCAGAGAGGACTCCACCTTCATTTATACTTAGTTTAATGCATGCGTGTACGTATCCAATGTATAAAGCAATGCTGCCATTGCAGCAGTATGAATATACAGAAATATCAAACTCAACACAGGAATAAAAGAGAGAAGGAGATATGGGATCAACTACCCCCCCCCCCCCCCAAACAAAAAAAAAAGGTTCTAACGTAAAAAGTCACATCTGTATATGTTAGTAAACGTCGAGAGATTCATGAATCGAAATGATTATAATGCCTAGTCCAGGTAATACAAGTGGAAGTGGTATTCAACTAATGGGTATAATGACCAATATATCCATAATCCAACCCTTGATTTATTCATATACACACTTGGTATACGTGATAGTCAACACCAACTGAAGAAAAATTAACCAGGGACTTGATTACATGGCCAATATGTACTGAAACTCAAAATCATATGGCATTTTCTCAACAGTGGTAGTAATCTTGCCACTGCCAATTTGACCCCTGAAGCAATCCACCATTGATTTTCGCAATGACCCGGATGTTGGTAACTGGTGGCAAACCCACTGAACTAGTGAGTCCACATCCACAGCAAAATCAAGCATGTTTCCTAGCAGTAGTTCTGGGAACACAATTTTCTTTGAGCTGGTCACCACAATTGATGCTTGCAGGTACTCCAACTTTGATCTCTCCAACTCAGCTACAACACCGTCAGCTGTGTATATCCTCACCTGAAAAACGTAACATTAATTTCCGGAAAAGATGGTAGCATTAGTACATTAATCAAATGCAATGTTGGAACATTTATATCAATTGTACCGCGGGAGAAGAACGAGTTCCACAACACAGTGCAAATGTAACATTAGGATCCATGGACTCAAGACCGTAGAGTTCGCGGATGGCTTTATCATCTTTCTCACCATTCCGAAAAGCCTGTGGAAAATGACATGATATGAGAACATACTACTACAGTATAAACCAAGCATTTGATCATAAGATCAGTCATATTTACCTCTTGCATACTGGAAGGTGCTGGCTTCCTCAAAATGTAATGCTCTATGGATTCAGCATTTAAAATCTTACCCCCTATGTTCAGAGTTGCCTGAATCAAATATTGTTTGTTATTCGTAAAGATTAGTAAGGAAATAAACTTTTGAGCCAATATATCTAAAATATTTTTCCGCCAGTCAATGCCTATACTTTCATATATATACCAATTTGATGCTTTATTTCAGCTAAAGCTCGGGGATTACCTTGTTCATCAATGCGAATAATTTTTCCACGGACGAAGGCACTCCGTACTGGAGAAAACCCTGGAAAATAAAAAAAAAAATCAGTAATCCAGCATGAGAGCTTGAACAGGATTAGGCACACTTCAGACTTGCATCTCTTAATTGAACGTTAATAAGCAGAAGAAAAAAATGGCATTTTTTGTATACATACATTCATTATACAAGCATTGTAAATGTTGACCCAGAATGCTAGCTTCTGTTGGTATGTCAAGGACCCCAAATCCACCACCTGGAGATAGTTCATCAATACCCTGATGCACAAGGACAATAGGGAAATAATATTAAAAATTCATGATATGAAACCACGTGATAGTGTTATGATCACAAAGACGAAAACAACTAGTTACGTACCTTAATTTTTTTAGTAAAGGAATAGAGTTGGAGGCTGAAATGGATTTTGGATCCATGGAGATTGAAGTGAAAGTAACCAAGTTTTTGTAAGGGCCAATGTCTCTAGGAATACACTCTTCCACATTGAAGATGCCATAAGGGTCTTGTTGCCTTGACTCCTTTTGTAACAAAAGGTTTGACTTCGCATTTGCGCCAGTATCGTCCCTGAAGCTTCTTGAGGTTATGGAAGAGTTGACAGACCTGGAAATGGGGCCTGACTTCTCTATTTCCATTGTTCTTGTTGTTCTAAGCAGCCTAATGTATATGAAGTTTAGACACTTCATGATTTCCTCAGAGAGCTTGTTTGGTTGCCAATTCTGGCTGATCTCTTCTAATTGTGTTGGAATTGGTACAGATTTTGGTGGCAGTTCTGAAGTAATCCCTGGATTACGTTCCTTTAACTAAACAGAAAAACAAAGCCATGCATCAATTAATTGGTGATACTTCAGGCATGAAATTTTGAAATGAAATGAATTAGTCTCATCAAATTAACATTAGTAGCTCACGTTTCCAAGCATAATAAACTAAAAGTAGGAATAATAATCTTTGGGTGCAGCACGTTATACATAATCTCCCTCTCAATACGTGCCTGTATACTATCAGTAAGATCTACATGCATATTATAACAGAAAGTTGTCACATATAACTGATGCATACAATCTTTTTGAAATTATAAAGACAGAATAAAAAGGAATGTAACAAGTTAGGGCGCACCTTGGGTGACGGATGTCTAGGAGCTCGCAAGGGCGAGGGTGCCCTCAAGGGTGAGGGTGCCCTCAAAGATCCATTGTTTCTCGGAAGCTTATTTTGAAATTTAACATCCTCATAGAAATAATTTTCTTTTTGATCAGAAAACCCTCTCGAGTATCCGATTTTTTCGTTTGGACTGAGGTCGTTAAGGTGATCATAATCACCTTTGATAGCTTTACTTATGAAATGCAATGCCTTGGTCTCATGATACCCCATTCTCTGGCTCTCATTGTTAACACTTCTGTGTATGGGGCTTGGCATTGCTACATTTGATGCACGAGGAATGGGGTTACTAATTAGGTTTCCGTGTTGCCATTGGTTTGATAGTTTTGATTCCTTTGTAGCTTCTTGTTCATGCTTCAATCCAAGTTGAACTTGGCTAATTTGGCCTTCAAGTCGACCAATTTCTCCTTCAACCATAGCTAGCTCTGCCAAAAGCTCCTTCATCTGCGTTACTCATAGAGGAGAGTATTATATTTACTCTTTTATGAACAACGTAGTTACATACTAGTAGAACTATGATCCCAATAAAGTAGTTATACCAGTAGAAGTTAGAACAATAAAGTAGCTTCATTAACAACTTATTTTTTTGGTAGATGTGTATATGCAATGAGCCTTAGTTGAGTCAGTTGAGGGATTCCTTAATAATTTTGTTTGAGGGACGCTTTTGTAGAGCTCACTCCATTGCATTTCAACAATTTGTACTATTTAATTTTTAGGTTTTTTTCCAAAGATCATCTTTACAAAAATTGATCACCCAAATCGGACATACGGGTGATTTTATATCTTCTCATAGCCAAATCAGAATCCAAAGATTATCTCTGCAATGCTTAGTTTAAATGGTGGTCATCTTAGTGTTTTTTGAAGCACCGTATTCGTATATATTTTTCTTATTAATTATAATCGAATCTTAATCATTTTGAATTTATCAATTTGTTGCGAAGAAGATCTATGATTGATGAGTTAATACATATGCAACATATATATGCTGACAAATTGTAAATCATGACCATTTAGGTGGAATCATATATAAATGTCCAATGTCTAATCTTGACTTAGGATCTAACCATATAAGATGCATGCCATGCGACATACAAAGCTATTCTTTAATTAATGTGTTATAATTCTTAACATCTGTAGTATAACTTTGTATAATTTGTCTAACTGTCAAAAAATCCCATGCATAAAAGTCAGCCGCATGAGGTAGCTTAAAAGGAAGAAGATAAATACCTTGGGAGGAAGAAATCTTGGGATAGAAATAGCAGAATCACCATTTTTCCGATTGTGGACTTGGTCCAAAACCTCATGTACTTTCTCTTCCTGATGAAGCATTCTTTTAAGCAAAGAAACCTACAAAATAAATAAGGAACTTGTCAATATGACTCTCTCATCATGATCTAGAAGATGAATGATACGTTATATGACTCCTAAACTTAGAGCATGAGAAAAGTTTAAGACCAAAATTTAGATTATGAAAAAAATTTAAACTCCTAAACTTCTTTTTTATACAATGATATATTTACACTGAAGAGTGACGACTTAATTAAGGGGTATGCTTTCCTTTGCTGTAAAATGCTGGTAGGGGATTCAATTAAGGGTTATGGTTCTCATTTATTGCTTCATGCTTTTGGGTAAGAACTGCTGTCAAAAGTTACACTTCAATAGTATGTGACAGTTACAAAAAATTTTAATTTGGTTTCCTTGACAAAGAACATGTCCTAATTAAATTGGCCTTGGGAATCCAATGGATATTAAATACATATTCTCTTTGAAAAATATGGCTCCCCAGCTGGAAGAACCAAAAGTTTGAAAGATAAACCATGAAACCTTGAAGAAATATAATGGTAAATAGTTATGGATGCCTGAAAATGATGTGTTCAAAACATGATTCACCCCTATCAGTTTTAGCTATTTTTCTTATCCTAGTACGTAGATCAGGAAGGTGACCCCATCACCCTATGATTGCAAATTTTATGGGCTAGTGTCTGGTGAGATATTATTTCGAGTGGTGTTATCTACACACTCATTTTCACTTTTTATATTTTTTTTCAGTTTTCGACCATCAAATCAAATAAACCAAAAAAGATCAATGAACAAAATTAATAAGGGTATGTGAATAGAATTATCCATTATTTATACAACCCAACAAATACCCTGACAGAGGTGGGTTTTATTATTGAATGTGAGATGAGATGGTGCAAGTGTTAGCAAGCATGTTAATTTTGTATGTATTTGCAACTCTTATTATGTGTAAATATATATAATAAATACTTGCTTTGAGTGCCAATAACTAAGTCGAGAGAATTTTTTATGTAATTGGAATATGAGCTAGTACACCACCGTCATAATATAAGTAGAAGGTTGACATATTTTTCAATGCTCGTTCACTTATATTATGACAAGTAATATACCACTCGTGTCCCGAGTATACATAAACTAGTAGTGCCGCAAAATTGCTAGATACTCTTTGTTAAAACAACTTTAATCAAATATTAATATTCAGAGAAGGACTAGAATCCCATCCTACGTACCTCTCTTTCAAGCTCCTCTTTCCTTCGTTGCCCAGAAAGTTTCTTTTTTCTCTGCATTTCCAAATTAATAAACTCTTATGCATAAGAAATTGATCATGAAATAGCTAGCTACAAAGAGTACAACTCATGGCTAACCAAAATAAACAGGAAAATATTACAAATGATTTACATTATGCAACATTTTTTTAACAACATCATCAAGCGTCACAGATTCATATGGAACTTACAATCTCCGACGGAGTGCGAACGGACAAGTCGCTGGGGCTCGCCATGAACAAAACCTCAGTGCAGCTCAGTTTGAGCCAACTCCAACGCTTACAAGAGGCAACATAAAGCCAAGAGGGTAAGATGTTGTTGGCAGTATTTTTTGTGAGGTTTTGAATATGTTCAAAGCAGTGTTGGTGTGAGGACTTAATAAGCTTAGTGCCAAAGCAAGGGTGGCAGCTACTGGTTGTTTCTGCTGTTGACGTTTGGTTTGATGAATGGAAAGAACTTTGAGGCGTTGAAGAAGAAGATGAGAGGGAGCTTTCGGGCTGATGATGATGATGATGATGAGGTTGATCATGTTGTGGGTGGGACATCATGCAGGGAAAATAAGAGGGGCTGGTATGGTGGTGGAGTGAGAGGTACGTGGGAGGGTTTTTGGGTTTGGCGTAGCTTGCAATTCTGGCTTTTGGGGGAGGGTTAGCGGTTATACCTTACAATTACAAAGACCTAAAGCTCTTTATATAATTATAGCAAACAGTAAATACAATTATGTATGAATGATCATTAACAATAACCTTCACTACCATATCTTTTTTATTTTCTTCTACTATATATAGATATAGAGGGATGAACTCGAGACTTCGAATGTAAATGTGAATGTTTTTACTAATTGAATTATACGTTTTTGTTACTTTTAGCCATATTTAAAAGAACGAATTATGTAAAATCTGAGATATATGAATGGTAAGATGTCTAGATGCTTATGTTGTCAAATTGTTATTGTAATCCTCCTTAAAATAATAGAATTAGAAGGGATGAATTCCTTTTATATATAGCTAATCCTCTTCTAATCCCTCCAAATGAAAATCCCTTCACTTTTACTTTAAATATGCCTTGAAATTTGAGAGTTCTCCATTGCAATCAAATCTTGTGTACTAAACAAGCTCTAATATACTTGTTTTTTGTTATCCGAAACAGATGAGAGAGACAAATATGACCCTCGTACTATGGGAAATTCAAACTAAGACACCTTATGGATGTACATGTATTAGCATTCTCACGCATGCTAAGCATGGACGGATGACCAAAGGGATGGCGGGATCAGGAGAAATTTGTTAATCCAACTGCTTTATCTTGCTCATTTGTCTGTTAATTGTAGGGCCTATTTTATGGTATGAAATACTAATGATTGTAAAATCAAATCATCACAAATCGATGTAAGGAAATTTCTAGAGGGCACTTCCCCTTCCAAGAAATAATTATTGGCCCTCTCACTCCCTCTTTAATAATTAATGTGATCGGTGTATAATAATGTAGATCAAAACAATCCCTAGAGGAGGAAGGGTTAAGTTTAATAATGTGGATCAATACAAACCCTAAACCCTGACATGGCCATCACTACTTAATGTGATTGGTGTTTAAAACCACAGTTAAGTGGTGGTGATGGTTTCGCGTCCCAGCGTATTTCAAATCTAGTGAGTTATCTAAATCCAGACACCAAACAAAGTCGAGTCCCAACACATAGTTTGACAACTAACACCAACCATGATCATTACTATGTACAATGTTGTTGACCATAAGATTGTTTAGGCCAATTACATTAAGTTTGAAACAATTACCCAGCATTTGGATAAAGAAAATGAACTTAAAATTCAAAAAAAAAATATTAAATTAAATTAACACGCAATAATTCTTTTATTTAAATTCATAAGTAAAAAGTTCAAAAATTGCGCACAAGAATAAACCTAAAATTTCACGAGTTTTAAGATGAAAAACAAAAAATCACGTGCAACACCGCCAACATCACAACCACCTTGCTACGGCCATCACCACCACCATTTTGGATGTTCCACATTCTCCTCTTTCTATACATGGTGGTGCAGAGGGCTCAGCACCAAAAACAATCCCAACTTCCCCTCCCCCCTCCTTTGAAGTGTAAAGTGGACTCCTCCATCAAACCAAAACCAACCAAAAGATTGTTCTCTTCTTTCCCAAGTGGTTGAGCTCCACCTTCACATGAATCTTGGAGCCGAGGCCCGAAACTCCGAGTTTAGGCTTTGAGTCCTAAAAACCGTGGATGGACCCGAGCCCCACGCTCGGAGCTCATATTCAAATGTTCATCCAAACATGATAAAACTTTTCAACCAACATTTCCTTCCTCAATTTATTCCTTGATTGCATTCCCATTCACATCTCACTCTTCGCAACAAAACACAACAAAACACAACAAAACACAACAAAACAATTGTATATAAACATTTTTCACGGTACACAGTAAAACGTCACGAAATTTCAAAAACGCAGAACCCTTGGATACAAATCATATAGAAACATCAGATGCGTAACATAAAACATTAGGAGGAAGAGCTACACTGAATAAATAAAATGCCTCTGTTATCTAAGCCTACAGATTGGAAAAGCTACCTAAAGAAAATGCCACATTTACTCTTATCTACAGGTTGCCACTATATTAGTTCTGTACACAACAATCTTGTAAATCTTCGGTCTTCTTCTCAATATGTTTACAGACTCCAAGAGTCAAGTAGTGAGACAAGCGTCTTGGAAAATAATTTTCCATTTATGCACAGAGGGAAGGGGTTGAAAGGATCAAGACTGATTTTACTTCTTTTGCAACAGTACCATTAAAAAGTACGCAATCCCTCGAAAAACAATACCGGTGATGACGAGGAAGATTATACTACGGTTCCAATGATTGAGATCATAACCATTTTTCATAAGTGAACCGCATCGCGTTATTAGCCACACTCCAGAGTACCTAAAAATAAAAGAAAGCAAGAGGCTATAATATCTTCTCGAAGGATGATGCAGAATAATTTTGTAGAAATAACAGGTTATTTCAAACCTTTTGGCATTTGATATGACAAAAGCTTCCAAAGCCCACTTAGTGTAGCACAAATCAGCTATTCTTGAAACAAATTTGTTCTCGTTGTAGTTTGCGATCAGAGTCAAAACGACTGGAAGAAGTACTGACCACTGCATGACACAACCAATGGCTTAAAACCAGAAAGGAAAAAAAACGCATGCAGATACATTAACACATTCCATTAATAATTTCCGATGTGAAAAAATTCTTACCAGTTGGGCTGGACCAGGTGCCAGGTAGATGGACAACGCATAAGCTATACCGGTTACACAGTATACCAGACAAATCAAAACAATGTAATTATCTATGATAGATGATCTTGGATTGTTGAAGAAATAGAACATAGAAAGATACACAAGAGGCTTAATGATTGTATTGAAATGGTCAACTGTATCCTTTGAAAGAAAGTACGCCAAGCTACTCATGCCAGAAGAGCTCTCTCTCCAGTAGTGCAACTTATCCAGTCCAAACGTTCTCAAAGCAGCAATCTTGCACAGAAGAGCTGAAATGCAAACAAATTAGGAGGGGTGAGAACTAAAATATGTCTTGGTAAAAAGCTATTATTTGAGGACACGAACATGAGTAGTGATTTGACATGAATGTGGGTATCAAACACGTCAATTTCCAAACATACATAATGGCAAGCAAATAGATATAGGGTAATGTTCTTTTCACAAGCAATCCAGCCGTACTAAGAATGTTGCAGACTGTCAATTGAGATCATATGTCCAAAGGGCAGAGAGAAACTATAAAAATATAATTTACTTACTGTCTTACAAGAGAAACTATAAAAATATAATCTAATGACTTATGTGAGATTTGGGTACAAGTTTAGGGACTATTACTCTATATTAGTCAACAAATTATTTTTTACTCAACAAATTATATGCATCTAAATGGCATGTCCCAGACTTCCAGTAACTGCTCAAAGAGGCAAGTTGATTATGAAAACATCCTAAACCATAAAGTAAAATCACAGTTTAAGGAAGCGATGCATAATCCAGCACAAAATAGTTTACTTACAAACTGCTATGACTGTGTATGTATAACCGAGTGCACCAAAGGTTTCATCGCTCACTTTGGCAAGTGTTCCTAAGCAGATTCCAGCTAGCAATAAAATAAGAAAATCTACAGCTTGTGTTCTAGATTCTCGTAACCGCTGCTTACCTCCCCTGTAAAATCCAGAAATACAACAAATCAAGTTGAACCATTAGAAGCAATATAATCTTAATAGCAGTTAGAAGTTGCAGGAAATAGACTCTGCTGAGGGTAACAGTTACACTGTGTGACAGTGGCAAGCCTATGGATACTTCATTGTTAATTGTCTAAGCCTTCACTGATAATTAATTAATATCGTCTTAGCATCTTGATTCTTTTTCAAGTATAGTGGAAAAGTAAAGATGATAAGTGCCATCCTTACTAGCATAATATGTATGTGCAACAGTGCAAAGAATTATCCCCACCCGCTCTTTGGTTATCCTACAGCTAAATGTCCCAAGGTCTTAACTTCTCTTACATAATAAAACTCAACATGTTGATACGACACTCATCATATCCATATGGTTGATATCTATAGAAAAATAAAAAAATTTGTGCAACCAAAATACTAAAAAGGGAATATCCACCTTCCGAGGAAGTATCTATATTGCTGGAACACGCCAGGGGTAGTCCGCTCAGATAAGTCGTTTGACTTTAAAAAATTATGTTGTATAGCGTCCTTATTCACCTCAACATGACACTTAACATCCTGCCAAAAGTCTCCAGAAAAGGACTGTCCCTCAGATCCAGCGTCTGGAGTACTTCCTCCATGAGCTGAACTTTCACCAGCTGATGCAGCCATCCCATCAACACTCTGAAGCATATCCATAGGAACTGGGTACCCATTATGAAGCATCCATCTAACAGGTAGTTGCTTATAGGTCACCCCAGTGGTTGTATTTGGTTTTACTATGCCTTCCAAAATATCAATGAAATAGTCTGGAGGGTTGACACGCTCAGGGACAGTAATCCCAAGACTAGCAAAGTACTCTTCAACTTTCTTCACCGATCCATGATACACCGTAAGTCCCCCTTTAGCCAGAAGGATCAAATCATCAAACATCTTGAACAAGGTATAGCTGAAGCACCCAAAAAAATACAATTAGGAAAACGAACTACTTAAAAATGACTTCCAATGAAATTCAAATATTACTTTTCCTTCAATGGTCCACAAAGTTTGGTACCCCAATTTCCAAGACGTGTTTTATGTATGCTCATTCTTTTTCAAAGATTTGTAGTAAACGTTATGAGTTCTCACTTTCCTTCTCTGAGGAATCAATCTCATCCTAAGCATTTAGGAGTACAAATTGTAGATTAAAAAAATTAATATAAAAGTAAAAGTTAGCATACAAATAAGTGTGTCCCTC